ATTTATCAAAGGCGTAACGGTGTTAGTGCGCTGTGTAACGCAATTACACACGCGCGTTTATCGGAACACCGGCGCGTGTAATGACTCTCTTTCTCTCTCGGTCCTCTCTCTCTCTCTTTCTCCTTTGCCATTTTTCGCTGCCGGCGATATCATTGACGCGAAATAGATGCACGCGGAGGCAGACAGATAACGTGAAAAAAAAGGACCGGCAGTCGGCGGAACAGTGAGATTTTTCACATAAGTCCAACCCCATTTTACCCAGTTCGCGCTCGGCTCGATAGAGCCTCCCCATCTCGCAAATAAATATCCGCCACAGTCGGAATATCTATGGAAATATTATCCCGGAAATATATTTGAAACGAATTGAAAATGAACAGGATATATAATACAGGCTCTTTGTGTTGGTGGACGCTTTGAACATTCTTTACTGTTAGAATTCCGGCAAAATGTAGGTCGATATTCGACACGTTATCTTGATTTTGAAATTGATTACATTCATTTGAAATTTATATTGGCTAATTAAATTCTCTTTTTCTGTATTATACAATAGATAAGATTCTAATCTAGAAAAGGTCGTCAGCCGAGTCGCCAATTTACTTTAAACTGGCGTAACAGTGCCTTAATTTTATTCACATCGTAAAAGTGATTTTTAAAAAATTTATTGATAACTAATGTGATTTTGCGCCCGTTTAGTAGAATATTTGATACTTGGCCCACTCGCGCGGGCCACTACTGCACTTAGCGGTGTCTTTATCGCACGCACGCTTTGTCGAAGTTCACGTGAGTATCGGATTTTATTAGGAGATATTTGGAAAATACCATTGATATCGAAACAAGAGTCATGCGCGCAATCTCTAAAGCGATACTATCTTATCGCATCGTGTCGATTACCTCTTCGCGTGAGTCCGCTTTCGCTTTGCTCCTTGGATTACCGTCGTAAGACAATATCTTTCGCAATCTCCTTTCTCTACCGTGGTTTAATTGTTATGTCTTCGGGTCGTTAGAAATGTCGATACCGCCGACGTAATGTACGGCGATCGGCATCGAATTGAATGGCTTTTACGTTTTCTTGCCCCATCGTTTCTCTTATAATTTTTCCGCTTGGAAGTAATTGCGGGTTAAGGGAAGCGTTCTTTTAATTCATGAAGAGTAAAATATATATAAGATATGCAATTATTTCTTAACAAAGGAACTAAAAACTTGATAGCAGATTTAATTCTGCAAGCAAAACCAAGATCGTTTCACTGAATGAAAATTTAATCCGGGGTCCATTTGCCTAAAATTTCAATTTTCGGAACTAAATAGTTGATGATGGAGCCCGAGTAGATTAAGTCTTCATTTAATTTTGATTAAGCTTTGTCGGTGGAGAGATTAACTGTGAATGTTGGTTGAAGGATTAAAATATTGTCTTTGATTATGAATGTTAATGAGATATTACTAATTCCACGCGACATTTATCGAACTCAATTACAAGTTTTATCGACCCGACAATTCCCGAAGATAGTTTTAATCTAGGATTGTGTAAGGTGCTAAGAGTATCATCTTCTTTGTTAGGAGTAAAGTTTCATTCGTATTGACGTTTGCTGTTATTCTTTCTGTGGGTGGTCGAGACCCGAGCTAAAACACGAGTTCTCTTTATAGAACAGCATTGTTCGAGCTCTGATTTCTGTCACGATGACAAACACGGGCGTCGGTTTACCAAGGGGACTCAATTCACAACAGGCTCTATTGGTTAACAAAGTTCGACGCGTCTCCGACGTATTGCGATTTCTGTCTTGAGTTATCGCTTAAGCGACCTTAAACCCCATATTATCGCTTTGACGTAGTTTGTTAGTTTAGTGTGATTTTGTAGTCTATCGTGTCAAAAATTGCCGGAAATTACCTAAGATTAGATTTCAAAAACAAGAGCGATCAGGCGACGACATTGCGTAAATACGCGATAGACTCTCTATAATCGAGATTTAATAAACGTGTTTAATAAAATAAAGAATGAAAAATTGAATTAAATAAATAAAAATAAATTATATGAGAATATCGAGGAAATTTTTTTCCATATTTGATTCACATTTTTCTATCTCAATTTTTCATTTTAAAAAATTGTAAAAATTTTACATCTCTCTACAATCTCTTCAACAGAGCTTATTAATTATTAATATAATAATGCGATTAATATTCGTCGTGGATAAAACATTTATTTGGAGGAAAAAATTGATAAAATTTTTGCTGCTAAAATAAATACAAAGGTACAAATATTCAACTTTGCATTTGTTCGACATTTCTTATAACTTTTCTTTATAAGACCTACATTTCACGGAATTTCAAGACGTCACCGCAAGTACCTCTCTTGTTGAATAGTTTCCAAAGTTCACAAATTATCAAGTTTACTTCCTGAGAAATTTCTTTGAAGCGTATTAGATGCTAATGGCAAAAGTCATGAGAGTATACTTGAGTTGTTGGTCAGCGATGAATTTAACAAACCTTGAACTTTAAACGTGAGCTCTAAAAGATCATTAGTTAGAGAAAACAGATTCTAAAAGTTATATTATCCAAATAATTTAATCGTATTATAATTATTCTTTTTATAATCGATACAACGAGTTATATAATCTACAATATATTTATTATTCAGTATTATTATGTTTTAATTTTATGTTGGTAATTAATTAATTTTATAATATGTAAAATCAACGTAATTTCTAACAAGAATTTCAAATATTGCTAACATGTGAAAAGCACGGGGAGAAATAATAATATTTGTGTTTAAATGTTTAATTTTCGCGTAATATGTTTCTGAATAAATATCTTTTTAAGCAATTTTTTTTATTGCGCGCATTAAACACGGTGCTTAAGGCTCGTGTTTCGTGCCTCATTAGGAAATTCGCCACTGTCGTTGGTGTAAAAGTACACCGAGCGAGCAATCCTCGCTTTTGCATTGTTCCGGTAGTGAAGTGACCTTATCTTTAGCGCAAGTTAACAAAGAACAGGCGGACAAAGGGAAGGGAGAAGCGGGGGAACGATAAGACTTTTACGCAAATAATAGAAAGAAACCCCCTATCGTCGCACGAATGACACGCCGCCGCAAAAATTGCTGTCGTTGTACAATTCTTGGATGAAATCGAGTTCAAAGCGAGTGACCTCTCCGAAACGAACTACGGATATTGCTTCTATCCGGCTCTTTCTTTCTCTTTCTCTCGTAATTGACTTTTCTCGTAGAAAAATTATACGCAACATTTTGCCGTTACATTGGCAAAAATAGCTTCTTATCTTCGGCCAAGCTGCATCAATATTATGTATTTATGTAGCGATATTCGATGTGACGCAAATTGCATTCACAATAGAAACGTAAATATCATATTATTGCGTAGAATCCAATGCTCGGATCGTACAGAAAAACAAGGCTCTATCACGGTTTCCTGTGTACAATGGAATATAAGTTATGCGTTCTCATATCTTTTTCATGAATTATTTACAAAAATAAATAGCATTACTTAAATTATTGTTCTTAAAAATGTTGATTGAAAACGTAAAAGCGTATATTTGAGACAAGATAATTTTTTCTATGAAATTTTCGTACGATTTCTTTATGAAACGTTGTATTTTCTATATTTTACGAAACCTGTCATCATGTAAACTGCTATTTAAGGGAATAAACGTTGCAAGCTTGCGAAGATAAACGGAATCTATTTGACAATAGTAATACAGGAAGGTAAACTCGGAGAAACGTGGTGCATGATGTAAACATTGTAGCGTCAAGTAATGTATTTTATCTCGTTTGTTCGCTTCTCACTCGTGGCTTCTATCTTAATGTCATCAGAATAGGATTATGTAAAATCTAAGAGATTCTTTTTTCTATCTGTGAAATCTATCCAAAAGTCATAGAAAAAGCATAGTTTTTTACTATAGTTTTCTTTAAATTATTTACATGATTGTAGACTTTTTATTAGCAATGAATTCTTTGAGAATTCAATTTTTTCTCGTTGATAATACTAGATTCTTTGTAGAATTATCATAATAATAGCTGTTAAAAAATTCAGAGATACATTTCTCTGCAGGAACTAGTTTCTAACAGGAAGTGCGTGGCGGGGCTATCATTATATAAACGGAAAATGATAAATTCCTAGTAAAGGTCGATAAAGTCAGCATTCTAAAATCATTTTTCTTTATCGTAGATTGTGCGTTTAACGAAAAGGTCATTGAACTAATATCAATTAACTTTGTAATTAATATTTTACATATTGAAATTCATATGGAATAAATTTATAAATTAAGTGCGTAATTAAAAGTCGATAACGATGTGCTAAACAAGTATACAAACAAGAGAAAAGCAATTGTTAATCAAGATTCTATATAAAGACAACTTTGAAGAGGCTTAAAGTCTGAAAATTTCGAAGATACAAAAGAAGTATGAAAACAGATGTAGATTAGATAAACAAGAAGTTTGACGAGAAGTAAATTTCAAGATTTTGATTAGAAGCAAACAAATTTTATCTAAAATGTATACCAGAGAAATTATTGGTTGAATAATACACGATCCAACTTAGCGCACTCCCCTCTGCACGGATGGGCACTGACACATACGTCGGTTCCCATAATACGTTCCCCATTATACGTTTCCTGACTTTTAACACACAATAATCCACGATGAGTCATTTGCACGCGATTCTTTAGGTGACTCGTGACTAAGTTGTAGAAAAGGGTATTATTTTTCCAGGAAAAATTGACACCCTTATAATGCCAAAAGCATACAAGGTTCGCAAGTTTGTGGTATAAGGATTTATTCAACCTACCTGTCGTACAAGGATTTCGAGGATGTTCTTTGTGTTATAGACTGTCGAACTTTGTACCATACCTATTTATTAGCACAATATACAGGCTGGTCAGTCGTGTTCCAATGTACATCTGCCTCTCGGCCGAGCCACACCGCCGATCTATGGACCAATCGACGCGCGGCTCTGTCGGCCGGAGTCAATCGTAACGGACGCGCGCCGACCGCCAGCCGGCGTTCTTGCGTCGCCTCGCCGTTCACGGCCTTTCATTCTTGTGTCGCACACTGCCGCGGTAGGATGTGCTCCACATTCCGGCTCGTTGGTATTTAACCGCTCGAAGTCGTCGGGACTCCCACGTGTTTTAGTGAGATATCGTGCGTAAAGTGCGTTTGTCAGCTCATTCCGCAATATCGGAACCTTGGAGAGAATTCCACAGATTAAGATTCGCACGAAGTAATCGGCGCGCTTTGGATACTACGTCTCACACGTGCACGCGTGGAAAAGAGAGAGAGAAATATATATCCATGGCGTTCTCGCCACGTTGTTCGTAAAAACTGCAGGTACGCATTTAAGGTTAAAATGTGTGATATTTCTTTTACCTTATTTTTTCTATAATGATTTTTGTCACAAAATGATTTCTTTTTATGATTGTTTTTTTTTCTTATATTTTTTGTTATATTAAATATTGCGCGTAATGAATTGAAAAAATTATAACCTGCTTAAAATGTGTTATTTAATAATTATACGGTTAAACTGTTTACTTCTCGTTTGAACAGCTGAGAACATTAATGTTCCTCAAAGGTTTATCCAATTATTTCATTACGCATGAACGGGTCGCATTAAATTATTTATTACCATAACAAACCGCTATGATTGTCGCTTTTATATACGGTGTTTGCTCGATTAAGAGCATTATACGTCATGTTTATACAGTAGCACACTGAATAAGCGTGCGTGCGAAATGATCTGCGACGAAGATCATTGAACTGGCTGCTGGATATGACTTGTGAAATAAAAATGCGATAGCGAAAACTCACGTCCCGATTTAACGTCGCATCACGAAATTTGTTTTTCTGGGTCAACCGACGCGCAGAAACGGAGCTTTCGTGCGTTTTGGCTACGTGCTCTTAAGAGAGAAAACTTCCGCCTCGCGAACAATTTGAAACGTGAAACGTATCGCGATAATATCGCGATAATCATCGTGTCGATGTTGCTTTTATGTTCGATCGTAATCGCGGTGAATAACGAATTGCGTTTGAAAGAACACGTTTGATATCTTACTCTGACAAAGGACTAAAAAATGAAGCATTTAAATATGTATCATAAAACTTTTATCTTTTGTTTACATTAAATGAAAAATTACGATTGTACATTTTTATAAGAGAACGTACGACGTGTATTGCAAAATACAGACAAGAATGTGAGGAATGTTCTCTAGCGAATATTTTATTCATTCAGTTTATTTTATTATGGTATTCGAACATTTTAATATCTCGTTAATTAAGTTTGAAGTCCAATTTAGCAAGTAAAGTTCACACGAAATTGCACAAGAAAGAATTTTATCAAGTATTCGAGAATTTGATTTGTCAATTATGCGATGAATGATACGATTTAATTTTCGACGTTAAATAACTCCATAATTAGGTCAGCAATTTAATCTCTTCTACCCGGAAAAGTTAAATTTAAATTAATTGAATTACCGGTCTTCTTGTATCCAGTTTTATTATATCATTCTCTTTTGCACGTGTACGACCTCCATTTAACGAGAATTTAATTATCGAATTTTATAATGCTGCATATATTATAAAATATTGAAGGTTTATGAATTGATAAGAGAAATTCATTTTCCGATTATTTTGGAAATTTTTCACTTTTTACAATTATTCAACGCGGAACATAGATTGTATCTGCGCTGAAACACGATCGAAGATCACTCGCGATCTTGCTGCTTTCGAGCTTACATAGGATTTATTTGCTAATGTATACAATCTTCCAAATTTACATACTACCTACCTAAATTAAACGTTTGTTACCGGAGGATCGCTTTCGGCGCACCCTGTAGATTGTTGTCCCGCGCACTTAGCCGCATCTGAAATGCTAATATCGACCATTCACCGGTTCGTCGTTATACGCAGTATATAGTAAGTGACGACCCTCGTCGCCTATGTAAAGGCATATCCGGACTACATACAACGTTGTCGCGTAAATTTGAGATTAAACACCCGCAAACACGGTTGCGCGCCGAATCGGCCGAATTTCGCGGTACGTCGAAACAAAATATTTGCACGAAAAGGTACCGAACTATAACAAAATAGCGACGCACGCGACATTTGCATGTTCACTCTGTCGAGGCAACATAAATGATCCGATGATTCTTTGCTTTTATTCTCGTGATTTCTAAAGTCTTACACATGGAGAATTTCAGACTGAAAAACGAGTTTTTCAATAAAAAGAAACATGTGACTTTAGCATTTTGCACATGTAGTCTGTCATCTTTGTCTCGTTATACACTTTTACCGCTAAGTGACAGTGAATCTTTATAGTCAATATCTTTTCAATAATTTAATGCTGAAACGTATGGAGCAACACAAAATAATAAAAAAATTTTTTAAAATGTTTAAAAAAGATTTGACTTTTAAAAATTCAAAGGATATGACAGGAAATTGGAAAAGCTTTAAAAGCGGTTAAAAATAAGAATTTAACGGGAAAAGAATAACAACGCAAATATACAGAATTCTTGGACTTGTGCGGACATGTGATTTAATTTAAATAGTTTATCGAGTCAACTAATGCTCAATAAAAATTAAAGCGTGAAATCAGTAACACAAAATATGCTGAGTTAGCCTCTTGGTTTTCAATATCAGATCAATATTTATGATATTCATATTTGCCATCGTTGTTTTCGCATTAATTAAAGCCCTGTCGTAACGATATTTAATAATATAAATATTTAAGAAAAATACAGATAGTATAAATACTCCATAATTTTGCTAATTGCGCGAGACTGGAATAGAAATGTGATTCAATTAGGCAATTGACTTTTAAGGAGTTTATTCGTTTAATTAGAAAGCTCTTCAGACGCTACTAAAAGCTGCGAGAAGACGACGAATTGAAGAATATAATTATCCTTATGACGCAATTTCCTTAGTAACCATTTATTTCAGAGCGTAATCTCGCTTCGTTTCATTTACCTCGTGAATACCGAAAGTAAAACGAGCTGTTTTTCAGCTGTCTGTTTCTGAACTTTGCGCTTGGAATATTTCGATATTTGCATTACTACATAAGCCTAGATTATCTGTTGAATAAGTTAGCTTTGATGTCGCTGTTTGACGACTATTATTCTCTTTATGTAGCAAGTAAAATAACCATGTTTAATGTAGAGTTTCTGAGAAAAAGACTGAAAAAAAACCGTTTACAAAAGTACCGAACATTTTATTTTAGATAATGAAAATTAGAATTTGGAATAATTATGAAGGAATGTATGTTAATAATTAAAATGTACACAATTATTTAAAATTAAGTTTTTAAAAACTTTATTTTATTTTTAAATATTGGAAATATATATGTTGGTTATATTCTGGAATAAAAAATATTGCGTTTTGTTACGTTTTTTTACAATGCAAGCTGCAGAAAGTTACGTTTTTAAAATTGAGCGGAAATTCAATGATTGCGAAATATTCCGTGCACATTTCATCGTGTATAATATTTAGATTGACAAGATAAATTTATACTTTCTCATTTTTTGTACATATTTTTAATGGTCAAAGTATCTAGGTATTTCATAACTCATCCGTATTGTTTACTCTCGTGCTTTCTTGTGTGAAATCGAAATAAACGTGAAATGATATAACGCGCGCTTCTTGTTCGATTTTTGCTTTTTTGTAAGAGTGTTTAAAATGCTGGCGAAAGAGTTGTATTAATTGGTGCTTAAGAAGTTGACCTATTTATCAAGAATTACGTATTTTTCGAGTGTAACGATTTGTTATACGTAATTTTTATATAGCGTCGAAGATTAATTTATCCTAAATTAACTAACGTATCGCGTTTGTAGCGCTGGCTGGTATTGAAATTTTAGAATATTATTGCAATTCAAAAATTTTTACTTCTAATTTTGTGACGGCTTGTCTATTAAGTCCAGAGATACCGTGGAAAATACAAGTTTTAATACAACCTTCTTGATATTAACATTTCCCGTAAATCCCGGGATTGTTCTGAATTTTTTTTTTCGCTCAGGGAAAATCCATAATCCCGTCTCTCTATGAAAAAGCTCGCTCTTATCATCGCGTACTTTCGCTCGCACGAAACGGCACGTCGCGCTCGCGTCTCGCAGAGGACATTTCCCGTCCGTCCATAAAAACGGAGAATTCCGGACGCGCGGAGCGTCGACGGGCTCCCTTTTTCCGCAGGGAACGGTAGAGATTTTTGCCGCTGGATAGAGGACAATGGACGCCGGGCAAAAAGGGTCACAAGAAGGCTGTCGACGTGGCGTCGCTGAATCCGTCAGATCCGTCGATCCGGATAGTCGACCAGACCATTACAAAACCGAGAATAACGGGCGTATTTGTTCCGAATATCTCCTACGGGCGGCCGCTATTCTTTCGGACTTCGCTTATTTTCTCCAGCAGTGGCGTAATCGCTGCTTCTCGCGCTGCGTTCGACGTGTAAGCCCACAGTACAAAAAGTTTCGCGGTGTAATTAATAATAAAAGTGTGAGAGGTGCAGTTTTCCACATGAAAATAGGTTGATCAGTGCGATTCTCATCTAAATTTTTTAACTTTAATTAATTTCTTTATGGTAGCGGAACTTCTGCACCCGCCGAGGATTAAATACCTCTGGAAGTAATTCTAAAATGAAAATTCCGTTAAAATAAAAACCGCTTGAAATTAAACGAAATCCTTCTGCGACTGCAGTTACGCCGTTGTTTTTCGCCCGCATTTCCCCGACGTGACGCGCTGCTGGCATTTTCACGTGTTCCCCCGTTGCCGTGCATTCCGCGTGCACGGAAGCCGCGCCGCGGCGCTTTTCGACCGAATTGCAGCGTCAAAGCCCGCGCACCGACTGCGCCGCGGCGAGATTTGCCAGCTCGTGGAACAAAAGGCTACAAAGCCTTTGCAAATGACATGATCCGCGAGCTTTTCGCATCCCGCTGCTGCATTCGACGTCAACGCACACGAACATGCGCTCGCGCGCATGTAGGACGGATCGAGAGTTGTTGCCTCGATAAAAACTTGGCGTTTTTATTTGCAGTTTACTCGACATTCCATTGCATCTTTATGTCGAATAGAACTGATTTTTATTAAACATGTAGTCGCGAAACGTTTGGGTTGATGAAAAAGTGATTTTGTTCTCGAAAGCAGGATTAAAGTTAGGAGAGTGGACATTATTAATTTTTATAAATTTATACAATAATTATTGCTAATGCATAATTATTTGGAGAATACGTTGTATCATTCGGTAAAATTCAACACTATAAAACTTTAAAATCCTGGTGTCTGTCTGACATGTGTATTTTCGATCGATTGTGTTTTACGAGTTTAAAAGAGACGTAAATATTTGAGAAAAAATCTGTGCCGTGTTTGAAAGTAATGCAGTAAGAAAACAAACATGCTATTTTTGGGTCAAGATGTTTGTCATTTTTATTGAAAACCTCGTGTTGCAGCAGACCGTCGATGGTCGATGATGACATTTTAAAACAAATAGTGACAGAAAGTCTACAGCTAACATCCCAAAAGAATTACAGAAAGACAAATGTTGCGCAACGTACAACGGTTTTTCATTTGCATAAACTTTTAATTTAAAAAGACAATCTTTTCTACCAATTCAATTATTATTGCGATGATAGATTGATAATTCTCGTATAATTAATAAATTTGTATTTACATCGCTGTGTAACATATTTTTTTCGCGGATAAAAACGACTAGATAATTACGAGGGAATCCTGCGCCAGTCGAAAAACGGCAAAAAGAACTCTTTTTTTCCACCATTTGCTAAATTGGAACGTGCCTGTTCTCGTTTTCCTCTCTGAGTGCCCGGCGGCTGGGTTACACTTGCCGCTGTAAGATGAGCGCGACTGTATAATCATCATCTTCCTCCTTCTAGGATATCTTACACCAATCTGGTTCCCTTTATTGCGACTGAAAATTGCGAGCGAAACGCTTGCCGCTACGTGTATGGTGATTGGGACTCTGAATTTTGCTCGCGCGTGTAGAAAGATAAGACATCTACCGAGATAACAAGTGTGCGACTTTTTCTAGGCAACAAATTTCGGACTGTCGTACGCAACGTCTCGTTATCTTGAATTATTGCGAAAAGAGCGGAGTATTTTTGCCAGTGCAAACATAACTCGTACTAATTGTATCACTTTTTATCTGCGGATTTTTCTGGTACGCCGCAACATACGTACGTCGTGAGAGATGATAAATCGCACGAACGGGGTTATCACTCTTCGGTGAGTTCTTTCTTAGCCTTGTGGCTATATTAGCGAGTAACACGTGCCATTTCTGCCGCGATAGAAACGGTGACTCTCCGCATGGATGTCAGAGAAATCGTCGAGTATCTCATCCGCGCCGGTCCAGTGGCGTAATCAGTGAATGAACGAACAACGTTGTAATGCTTACCTCGCCGCGCATATTAACATCCGCATTTAACGGATCGCGCTTTTTTTGCGAATACTTTTACGATCCAGAGAAAGTAGTACAACTCGAAAGTATCGTAATGGAATGTAATGAGAAGTGCTATAGTGCGTTGTCCGACTCGAGAGGAATTTTGGAATTATTAATGCGTCGAGGACTTTGTTTTTGCACTTTGTATGATAATGTCAAACACTTGGTCGACTCAGATGGCAATGATTATTCTGGTAGCGTGACGTGCTTTTGGTTTAACGGAAAGACCAGAGAGTAGACATCATTTATCACTCTAGCTACGTTTTTTGACAATATAAAATAATTTTTATCTTGTAATAAATATTTGGTAACAAAAAAATGAAATAGTTTACGATAAAAAATGTTAGTTTATTATTACAAGATAAAACATTTTTGTATTTTTAATATTTCTATTACACCAAAGTAAACGATAACGTTATTTTGATCGCTATCGATCTTTCACATTTTGCTATTCTAAATCATGTTTTTAACATTTTAGTTTGTGTTTGAATTCACGTGCGTGAAATCTTTAAGCACTTAACGTTAAGTAAATAGAGTCAAGTATTCCTTTTATCGATACACTGTTATCCGCTTCTTATTTCTTATCGACTCGGCTAGTGATTGGCCACACGCGGAGAAGCTCCAAGGTTACGCCACTGGCGTAACCTCGTAACCTTCCATACCACGATAACCTGACGGAGTTTAAAGCGTCGTTTCCTCGACGCGAACTTCGACGCTCATCGTCACGGAATTCTCGATGCCAAGCCCGAGTCCGCGTCGTAATTTGTCTTATAATTGAATGGGTAGGCGTGTCGCCTACTTTCATCGAGATTAAAATAATCTCGAGAAGAGGCTCGCCCGTATTATTCGAGCGAGTGTGTCTGCACTTTGATATAAACTAGTCTTCGGGGAGTTGGTGGTCGGAGAAAACGAGTTCATAATCTAAGTTTTGAGAATGAAGCGTCTAAAAGCTTTATTTTCATACCCTACGGAGCGAGGAGAACACTTTTTAATAAATAATCTTCTTTGTCTTTACATGTCTTTACATGTTTTAATATGTTCTTTATGCGTTCGAATATTTTTCTATCGATTTCCAGTAAGAAGCGTAGAACGGAGTACTGATATTACCCGTGAAAACCGATCGGTCTATTCCGAACTCTATTTTTTTCTACATTTTTTTTAGCGATCCTTTTTATTTTTCGCTCCGTATCTTATATATGGCTTAGTGAGTGCAGTATGAAATGATTCATTGCATCGATATATCCGTCGACGTGAAATAAATTTGGCAACCTCTTTTGCTGTCCAAATGCAAATTTTGGCAAGAGACCAAATCTGCCGTGTTAAATAATTTTTAACGGGAGACGTGCATTTCTTATTTTGTTTTTTTTTTCATCAGTCTTGATTTATCGGGATATTTTAGTTCTTACTTTTCTCTCGCGATTGTGCGCTTGAAATTATGCACGTCACCAATAGAAGTGAAATTGGACTTTGCCCGATTATCGACCCGTGTACATTTACAAACCCTCCATTGATCGAGCGACTACGTCGCACTCGACTTTATTTGATGTGTTAATTTCTGCATTCGTAATCTTTCTTTCGAAACCGACGACGGGAAAGAGTCGCTCGCAGTAGTCGATGGCTATTGTTCTTGCAGAGCAAAGTAAAGCAGAAGAAGATTGGAGTCTCGGGAAATTCTATTACTCTCGTCTTGCTAGCTTCGAGAAAGATGATCGTAAGTTATACTTTGTGGCACTTAATCTTCATTTGCGTTTCTCTTCCTGCTCCGAGAATATTAAGAAACCCACGGCGATAATGTAGCCCCTTTGTAAATTCCGCTTGCAAGCGTGTTACCTTCAGCTATCGCGATAGGATTATTACAGTTAAATTTAACTAATTAAAAGTTTTGTTACGCGCAAAAACTACCTGATGAACTAAACGATATTTGCGGCGCGTAACTTTCCCAAAATTATGCAAGAATATTAATATTATAATAAACTGTAAAATTATAATAAACTTGGGCACAATGCACCTCAAATTTGTGTTGTAGTCTATAATTAATACATGTAATGAACGGAATTGTATGCTGAAATGGCATTTAGAAAGGAAGTTGTGATAAACACGTTCGCGGATATTATGATAGGAAAGATTTTTTAATGGACCTGTATAACTAAATTATTTTTTTATGTAACGAATATTAATGGCCACATAAGAGGTGAATCAGTTTTTTAGAATCAGCATACTCGATTTTTTTGCGTCATTACACAATAAATTTAGTTAAGTGTAGACTATAAAATACATGTGACATTTTGAATCACTAGAGGCGTAAAAAAGACATTTTTCTTTAAGCGTTTATTATTTTTTTATGTTTCTGATTTTAATACTTTTAAAAGTTCTGCTTTTTTTTTAAGTATTAATATTTTACGAAATTAAATGTTTGGACGTTAATTTGTTCGCAAATAATCGCATATTTTTCATGCGATTTAAATATGAAAAAAGGGATTAAAGATTTATTTTCTCTTGTTTTATTATTTATTTATCTTGCAGAGATATCAAGAACAAGATTTACATTTTCTTTAGTCTGTCGTAAGATCAAGATAAAATCTTGATATTAATGAAGAAGCGGGACGCTGGCGGTAATGAGCGTGCACAAACGTGTGTTTTCCGCAATAACCGTAATCGCGAATTCATTTTTCATGCCCGCTCCATGTCGACACGAGTCGTCGCCGGTCTATAATTAGGCCGCATCGTCACCCTGGCTTGTTTACCGTCACATGTAAACGGATTTAATTCGACAAGCCGTGATCATCGACACGGGAAACTGCAGTTTAATTGCCTGCAGTGCGACGCTGTGAGCATTTCAAAACTCCGCGGGAAATTGGGCGTAGAGCTACGTGCAAACAAAGCGTAGGAAATAGACAATCCACCACGCCGCTCTATTCCGTATTAATCGTCGATGCCTATGTGAATGTTTAATTGGTACGCCGTGTCGTTTTACCGGTAAAAATAGCCGGCGGCTGAATTTATTGTACTGATATCGGAAGGCTCGCGTATCCGTTTCTCTCGACGGCCGACAGAAAGATATTGCGAATTTTTAAAAATATTGAAAATTATTGTGAAATATTGTATAATTTTCATCGCCTTCCGCAAAATGGGGTGGAGGGAGGGAGAAGGGATTTATCGCAATGTTTTTATTATCTTCAAAATGTTAGTATTATTTTAACTCGTGCGGAATGTATAGATAAAATGTGCATTTTTTTTTAATACAATAAAAAGCCGATTTGCAATTTCGCGATCGTCGTATTTTACTGCTCTCGTTACCGGCTCTATCGAGTTTTTGCTTGCGGTCGGTTTTCGGTACATTTGCGAAATTGCTTGTGGTCGTGAACGTGGATTTATCAGCGGCTAGCGTGGCGATCGAGCTGGGATATATTAACAGCTGTCCGCGATCTCACTGCCGGAAGCCGCGGCGAAGTTGTCGAAGTTACTTCGATTAATTCTCGTTTCTGCCGGCAGGAAGCCGATGAATCGCCACTGCCATGCCGTCCGGACGAAGTACACGACCGGTTTCTAGCTTTCTGCCCGCGGCTGTAACATGTGGGTAAAACGCGACATGCTCGATAATCCGTGGATGCGGAGATTTAGAAACTTCGCAGCAAGCATACACGCATCCGCATATCTGAATAGAAAATACGTATAATTTATGAAATGACGTATGTTCGCGCAGGTATGAATAAACGTTGAAAGTTATTAACGATATTATTTGTAAAATTTATTGGAAACAAATAATTATAAATTATTTCACAATAATTTATCGTGAAATTATATCAAATAAATAAAACGTACAATTTATTACATTATCGTGAGAGAATATTAAAAAATATGAAAAAAAAAAGACCGCAATATCCAGCAGCCAATAAGCTCAACATCTGTCACGTATTGTTCACGTAAGAAACATCGAGAAATTCTTCAATACAGCGGCAATTTAATAAAAACTTTTCGTCACGTAGAATCGCCTCTTTGAGCCATCGTATGCGATCGAACCTGTTATTAAACCACTACCACTACCGCCACTATCGTGTTACAGCGCACGATTTATGCTAGAACTTTCCTTTGCAGGTATCGGCAGCGTGGAACAACGACAACGCGTGCGGCAGCATAGATATTGTCTTCGGAGCAGCGGCGTAACTTCGGAAGAGCGAACTATCTTGGGGGAACATATTTCCGTTTGGCGAAGTATTCGACGAATCGAGATCCCGATTCTCGATTCTGTTCAGCGGAAATCTCGCGAGAAGTTCGCGAGCGGGGCGGTGCTCGCCGCTCCCCGTCCGGAATTCTGTCAGAATTCCACGAGAATACAAGATGATGTTGACACAGGAGCCCGGCTGGAAGCTGGAGCGCAAAGGCTCGGGCGCGCAAGTGTTGCGCAAGGACGGCACGCACTTCAAGAGCAGTACCGCGCGCGTTTGCTTCCGGTGCGACGTGGAGGTGCGTGAGTTCGAGCGCGACGAGGACGAAGGCGCGACGGAGATGATGGAGACGGAAACCGCCGCGAGTCCGCTGGCGATGCTGTCCAGCTGCGTAGCGGCGCTCTGCGTCACCATTCTGCTGCCGTGGCTGCTGATCGGCGGCTAGATTTTGTCGCCAATCACGGGGCATGGCTCCGATTGCGGAGCTCACGCGGAACCTCATCCCTCCGACTGACTTCCGACTGCGAGAAAGCACGTACCTCGAGCGCTGGGATCCGCCAATTATCACACCGACGGAGTAATCGTTCGGAGATATATCCGGCAGTTGATGGACGGCTGTAATCCCGTGGGTCAATATTTCTCGCCAGCGATTAACTCGGACGTGTCCAACGATCGTCAAGATTGTATTTTATACCATGGATGTGCGTTGGGCGCTTTTTCGATCAAACTCGCCACTCCCCCGTTCGAATATCGGACGGTCGGATGTCATTCGAGGAATGACATCTTAAATTGCGCGGACGTGATTGCTCACGGTAGTGTCGCACTGCCGGCGGTTCGGATCGGAGAGATGATAGACGGGTTTTATCGCTATGATCGTACAGGATTTGTGATTGCATTCGTCGTGCTCGCTTCGTATTTGTCATCGGATACCGCAAACACGGCGGATGCAATCACAAATCCTGCAGTGTCCGATCGATACGCCGATTCGGAGGTTTGTTACGCTCTTATCGATCCTACAACATTCCGGAAATTCTCTGACGAATTTATGACGATGCGGTATTTGGAAAATTCGAACGCATCGGAGGAGATTCCTGTTTTAATATGTGATAAATGCGAGCGTATTTGCAATTTAGCGACGGATAGAAATCCGGAATTTGCTCGAAGAATATAGAATTGGCGTATATTTTCTTCAAGGATTTAAGGATTGTGGGATTTTAAAGTTAAATGAAACGCGACGATACCTAATGTACCTACCTACCTACCTACAAAAAAAAAAAACATTTACTGAAAGATCTAAAAATTGTGCAAGTAGTGCACTCGATTTTGGTAGATCATCAAAACTTTTTGCTGCGATATGAAAAAAAGATCGAGTGCTGCATTGAGAGAGAGAGAGAGAGAGATAAATTTTGATTGTCCAACAAAATTTATTTTCAGATCTGTATTTGGCATAATTTTTAGATCTTTCAGCAAAAGTGTTCTTTCTAGGTATTATATCCAAGATTTTCAATGTTGCAAATAGTAAGGATATTTGACTGATATACATAATTATAGCGAAGTTAAGCTCTTGTAAAATATATAATGTAGATCTTGCAATAGTGATATAAGATTCAATGTGATTGTATTTTATTTTAAGTGTTGTCACATAAATTAAATTTTTTAAACATTTTGTACATAATGTAAAAAATAGCTTCTACGAAGGAGGCGAATTAACGACGGATAAAAAGATTTAAAATCTGATACCGTTTTGTGATTTATTTCGATTGGGATTGCGCCTTGCTACAGGTGGCACCAAAGCGCGAGCGCCCCTCTCCCTCGCACCTTTGCAGAAATTAACGGTTATATCTACGGTCGTTAAAAGATTTAATGGTCTCATACGGCATCTGTGCCACTGCAGATTTATCCCGGCCGTTTTATGAATCCCGCCGTATCGTTAGGTTCTAGATTAAGCGCCGAGTATTTTAGATTAACAGCCGGCCGCAAATTCGCGAAACCGCGCGGCAGAACGGTGAAATCGGGGCAACAGTATAAGCAATATCTTGCCCGGCGCAAGAGTCGCCGGCGAGTTCGAAACAATTTGAACGCACGCGGATGGCGGGGACACGCATCATTTATATTCCGTCGATATCGCGTAGCGGCGGCCGAAGGGGCTGTCTTGTATATGGCGGATAAGCGATCGGTTTTTTTTTTCGCACGAGATACGTTTTCAATATCTGCGTACGACGTTATTTTCGTTTGGCTCTCTAATGCTAGAATGACACTTTCGAGAGACAAAATCCGGTATTGAGCGTGGGAGATCCTCGAAGTGATCGAGCGGCTGAACAATAGTGTGAGTCAGCGAAATAAAAAAGCTTTTGACGCCTGTAGTCAAAAATAATTAATTTAATATCGACATACATCTCAGAATGACGTGTGTATCGCAAATAATTAATTTTATATTCTGATTTGCTAGACATAATGCAAAAAATTGAGGTAACAAAATACGGATGATACAAAGTCCGCAATTTGATAATACAAAGTACCTCTGAATTGTTTGTTTCAAAAGCCGTTTAAAGATACATTTTATTTCGGTGTTGAAATACCAGTGATGGTGAAAAAGAGACAAAGAAAATCGGAGAGTAAAGAAAAAAAAAGAAGGAGAGCGTTTAAAAATTTCGCAAACGAAACTGTTACATGTAAAAGACCTTTGTCTCGCTAAATTATTTGCCAAGTTATTTTCTCGCGCACGTATTCCCACGAGTAATCGATTAGAAGGTAAGAAAAATATAGGACACAGTCCGCAGTTTGGTTTATTAAACGAAATATCTCGAAATGTGCTTCATAAAATTTTCATGGAAATATATTCGCGTTGAAACTTAGCGCGAAACTGTCAGTAAGAGCAATAACGTTATCGGCGAGGTGTTGCATGTAAGTGAAACAAAGTGGCAGAGAACAGTTTCTTTAGACTGCTCTTCAAACCATCGTCCTCTAAAAAAGCATTTGATGCACCGTCGTTAAGAAGCATGAATGATAATCGTCTGTAACTTAGTCACTCGTTGAGCATCCGATCGGCTATGCGTCAACGATCGTGAATGCTCGTCGTGAGCGTCGGCACCGTTACGCTGTACAATGATGATGCTTGTACGTCGCATCAGATACTCATGATATAATAGTCTCAAGCCCGGGAAATCGATTCTTTTAGATATGACGCGTGCATCGGCAAAGTGCTTTACGTACTCGTTGCCGTTATACGAAGTTGTGCAATTTTCCATCCGTGCTGCTTTTTTCTTTTCAGCGAAATATAGCCAATAAAATAACATTCCATGCCTTGACATTTATGCAGATCGTACCGTCGTTCTGATTTTACTTTATGAAGTATCTAGCCATTTGAATTTATGCAATTCTGCATGCATGTAATATACATCTCTCTCTTTTTTTTTTTTTTGAACGAAATGCAACAAAGGCTACAATTTCGTTCACTCGAAATATACGAAACGTTATTTCCGTAATTTTGTAAGTTACGGAATATATTTTATAATACGGTTTTTATTTGAGCTGTCAAACAAATTTATTTAATTTTGTATAGAATAATTTTTTCATTAATTCACATTTTGCATTTTGTCGCTTATTCGCGAAGCAAATCATGTTAATTTGTTTTTATGAAATTTTAAATAATGTGTCTGTAATGTGTCTCTTCTTTGACGTGTTTTCACAAAGGATTTGAAATTTAGATTTAAATCCCTCTTTTCATTCACAAATTCGCCCATGCTTTCCGTCCATATTTCTTTAGCCTTTTGTACGCTGCTATCGAGTATCGGTGCGAGGGCCATCACTACCGTTATACGAGCGTCTTCCGTCTGTTGGCGGTCGTAAATTCGTTACGCGTGGTGTTGCGTGCTCGCGCGAGTTTACGTCCGTCAGAGCGGCCCTTGAAACGTTCCTTGCATCTCAGATTCTGCTTTACGGGCCGGAAAGATGGATGAGAAGTTCGCGGGAGGCGAGTTGAAATAAATTTCGACGAGACGAGGAGTCTGCGGTAAATTTTTTCATTCCGCGATACGAAAACCGAGAATACCTCAAAGGAAGAGAGCCGGTTTCTACCGGTTCACGTGCGCGGAAAATTCACTCCGTCTCTTTCTCTCCTTGGCCCGTTTGCTTGCTCGCGCGCAGAGATATCGGCGAACTGAGACTCGTTGATGAAACGAAAGAGATTCTCGGCCAAACGGGGCCGAGTAATACTGGAGAGATTTTTCCCCTGACCCGGTCTCTTCAAATCGCAACGGTACTGCACTTGGTGCAATTTCACGGAAGACTACACTCGACGAGATTCTGTATATTTAATCGACGATACGCCTCGAAAGTATATCGGAATACGCGAGGCCGCAGTCCGCGGATGCGCGTCTGATAAATAACAATCGCATAATTATCGTAATTTAATGTACACGCGAGATAAACGCGATTTGATGGAGCGGAGAACGCGGAACGAGAATAATACATGCACTCGGGAAATAATGCAATAAGTATTCCCAGCACATTTGTTAATTATTGTTCTACTCGATAAGAGGAATATGCGAGAAGTTGCCGGCGAAAGACGCGCGATGTAATCTGCAACCTGTTTTGAAGGCGTTCACTCTCGAGCCAAGAAAATTACTATTGTTTGCAGCATTAATTAATGGAGTATTCCGCGGATCGTATTTCTCAGAATTATTTCTGTTTACAGCGACGGAAATATGAAGACGCGGATAATTCACTGCAGCGGCAGGTGTGGGGAGGCGGAGTGTTAAAATTCTCCAAGTTCGCGACGGATAAAAGTTCGTCTCGGGGCGGACGCGAAGAGACGACGGAAAATTCCAAGCGAAATAAAGTCACGGGATAAAATAGTCTACGCGCAGCTACGCTGATTTTATCAAGTAGTCGCGAAAAGGCGGGTCTAATCAAATAGATTGTTTATCGTTACGGTGCGACATGACGCGGCGGACGTAACTTCGTTCCCTTTTAGAGGGAGTTTCTTTTTTTTTATCCCTTCGTCGCGGATGCGCAGGCTGCACATTCGGCGAATAGTGACGGCGGTATAAATCAAAGTTTATTCGTCGCGTAAATTGCGAGCACACGCGGCAAAGTGCCGTCATCAAGCGCGACGACAATTCTGCGCAACAAACTGTGCGCGCATATGGCATTCAGGAGTAAACCGTGCACATACGCGCGATTATGTATGAGAAATCGTGAGAATGCATAATCAACGTTGTGCTATTTGTTTATGTTTCTAATAAAACCGCAAACACGATACGGCTATTATTTTCACGTCGGCTTCCCATTATTCGTAACAATTTCATCCGCAAATTATTGCCGGATCCGCAAATTATTCCGAGATATTATGAAAACTGCTTGAATATCTTTACTTAGCTATTAAATGTAATATTCATTGTATTTAATAGCTAAGCATTTGCATTACTGTAATATACTTTGTTTTTATCTATTTTCTTGTCAATCTTTAATTTCATGCGCTATATAATTATACATCAGCAAAGATAATTTTATCGCGCGAGACTCTTTTGCTAAAATTAATATAATCTTTAATACGCCTGTTAAATATAGCAATGAGTTCAGTTGAAGACAGAGTCGCGAAAATAGATTGATCTGTTTTTCTCCATTGATCTGTGATTCTTCAGTGATGATCTTGATTTATTAATTTTATTTTAAGACACGTCTCTCTTTATTATTTACTAGAATAAAGCACTTTATATTAATAGATCTTCGTTACCGTCAGTCTATTTACTACTTGCAAACACACCATGCGAGACGCACGCAATTACCTACTTACGGCTCATTAAACCATTTCCCAATCCTCAATCTTGCGCACACAACAGTGTGCGAAGACGAATGAATACGAATGCCAAATGGATTGTAGCACGGCGATAATACGAACACTCTCTCAATGTCAGTGAATTGAAACTGCGCAAATATCCGAATATAGTGATATGCTATATTAATTTGCATATTTAACAGGCAAGGTCAAAATTGCCAAGCATTAATGTGGTGGATAAAAAATTTGTGATTTGTGATTATTCGATGTTATTTGCAACATTACCGGACTATCTAATCAATTAATTAGAATATTGCATTCATAATGGATATCATAATTACGTAATAATAGTTTGAATAAGTAATTTGAATAAATTTGCAATGGTTTGAATAAATTCGTAATAATTTGAATAAATGTAAGTTAAGGTTTCCGCGCGTCTCGCGTCGTACGATTTAGCACACGGCTATTGTCGTGGCGTGATGCAAGGAGAGTCGCGTAAAAATTCCCGATCACCGCGATATCGACTCGATAATCGAATTAATGTCGCGCAACGCCCGCACACTCGGACATCTTAATAAGGCAATTCAATCAGCGTGCGCGATAATGGATGGGATCACAAGCGGCGGGAGGAACAAATCTCTTCCGGATCCGCGACTTGCATTCTCAGCGTTCCGTTGCGCAAAATATGCGCATGCTTTATAGGGCCGATGAAATGTGTGAATTTAATTTCTCGGGCGCCACAAGCGCATAAATATGCATCGCGCTCCTTCTCCTCGCGCTGATTTATACGCGATTACGCATTTACCGGTGCGGCGGCGGATTCCGCTGACCGTCCTTGGTCAGCGATTTTGAAATTGTCCGGGAGAGGCGAACATAAAAGGAGCGCCTTTAATTGATAGCCGAGCCCTTCCGATAATCCGATCCATTGACTGATCGATCTATCGAAAAACTGCCCGCATCCGCATTCTAAATTCAGGACTCTATATAATTAACTGCATATATTTCAGAACTTTAGCACACTAGATTTATACATAATATACGAAAGTCAACTTTTTGCAAGCATTTTTTGGTTTCAACAAGTGATGCAAGTGATTTGGGTGTTTTCCATTCGCGATGTGAAAACGAATATGTATTTTATCATATTATCGCTTCTATGTTTACAGGTGCACGTCTCACATCGTTTTACATCTTCTTCTTATTTTTACACACGTTTGCCATCGTTGTATTATAGATTTGCAAATATGTGCTTCGAAAAATTTCCAGTTTTCTTCGAGTTGGGAAAAAATCAGAAATTTTTTTAAAGAATTTGCAATTGATACGAAGATGTCAAGCTTCTACGAAAGATACGTGAACATCTTTGATAAACATTCGAATGACAACACGGTAAAATAGTCATTCGTTTTCGCAGTGCATGCAAATAAATAGAAGCAAACGAAATCACCTGCGTTACTAAAACCGAGAATCGCTTGCACTCTGAAAGAATTGATTTTTCGAGATATATGTATTTACGAAGCATTTTTTTCAGTGCAACTATCTATAAATTCTGGATCTTTTTTTTGCAGCTCTCTATGTAAACGATACTCCAGATATTCTACAATGAAAATCAATAAGAGTGTTTATCTTTTTTATTTTTGTCAGTATAGAGAGAAGCCGCGAAGTGTGCTAGAAACTTTTATATTGCAAAAATTTTGTTTTATGTATATTCTAAATTATTATGCTTAACTAGTAGCAGTTTAATTAATTTAACGCAAATATTTATTTCGCAGATTTATTCCTCTAAAAGCTTACTCGCAAAGTTTTTTAACGATGTACAGCAGAATGAACGATATTAATTTCTTTTGTCTCGTTAAATATTGCATTTATATTGTGAATTCAATAATCAATAATACTCTGATTTCCTCGTGTAAAGCATTTTATAGAATGCCGGAACATTTTTTCTTTCAAAGCACGTACGACGACCATGAAAGTTAATCAAGCAGCCCGACACATCGGGCGCTAAATTAATTCCAGCACGCTGCGTGCAGACTCCGCGAGAATGTAACCAGCCGCAACGGCTGATTGATACAAATTGGCATCAATTCCCTTCAATTTACGAGGAATCTCAAAATTTCACAACGCTAGGCGGCATCTGTCGACGCTGCCGCACGCCTGGCTGGCGGTACAACAGCTCACAGATCGATAACCGACTGTCGTCGGTAAAGTTGAAGATATTATTCCGAAATGACTTGGATAGATGGCACACCAGCCGTCTCTGTTCTCGGTGGTTACACGAGAGAAAAAAGGTTTTTTATGAGACACAAAAAAATTTCTTTCCACTTTTTTTACGTTCAATTATTTGAGGAATATTTGAAGAAGAGGAAAAATAGAAAATTAATATGCTCAAAAGTTTGATAATCTTTTCTTACTGTATTTTTTAGACATAAATTTATTTTTGTATCGTAATAAAAATACATACGATATATATAAATATCTTTAACCTTTATTGTTCATAAAATAGAAACACTATGAAGAAATCTAAATAAAACTTTATATTTTATCAGGTTTTTTTTATAGTAATTTTACATGAATTGCTTAAATTTATGCTGCATTGATTAACAATATTCATTTAGTTATAAGATTGAATGTTTTATTTGATTTTAACTGTAATTAAAATTTTTAGCTTTTATTAATTTTATAAACATATGTTTTTTTATGGATTCGTTAAATAATTTCTTTTTTCTGCATCGAATATAAATTGACGATTTATTGAATTATAGGAATTTTTTTAAATTTATAGATTAGTATTAAATGTAAATTATTGGAGAAATGATTTGTTTTATAGTTTCATAATTTTATGTTTATACTTTTATAATTTTTGACTTTTAATCGTACTAATTCAATTTTGTTTTCTGTTTCAGCTGCCGGATCTGAACAATCTCGACGAAAAGGTGAGTCCACGATCGACATTGTATTATCATAATGTAAGTTTACATGAAAAATATATGTAGCGTGTAGAGCAAAGAAAAATACGGGCCGTTATGTCCATTAAAAATGAAGGTCATTATCATGCAGCTACATATAAAGTAGTTTTATATATCTTATCGTCATTTATCGTCAATATGCATCGTCAACATTTATCGTCAATATGCATAGCCAACAAATTTGATAAAACTTTTATATACGAGATATCCGATAATTTGTTTGAAGTATAAATTTAAAAAAAATTAAATATAGACTCTCGGAATATATTTAAGAATTTATTATATATATATAAAGAAAAAATAAATAAAAAATAAATTCTTAATCTTCGATCCTCAGTCGTTGATATGTGGAGACAGATTATTATAATTATTATAATTTTATAAAAGTATGGAAAATTACATATTTACGTGACTATAAAGTAGTGAGTCAACGCGGTACATCTCTACAATAAGCCTGTAAAAAATTTTAATGATTCCGACTTATCTGTCGTCTACCTTATCTACCTATTTTTGTTCAGGGTCGCTTGCAGTGTCTCGAATTAATCATAATATGATAGGCTTAATCCACTTTTCAATCTTTGCAATTTTTAGTGTTTTGACATACTTAATATGTTGAAAAATTACTGTATATTATATAGAGGATCGTATAGAGACTCGTTATCGATTAGTTAATGATAAGTTTTAAACTATGTTTCGTTCCGTTTTTATTTCAAAGACTTTTATAAATATATTCTATAAAATTCTCGTGTTTAATGTATTACGATGAATGAACATATTATATATTGCAATGTAAAAATCGAAGATTAAGAATTTATTTTTATATATAATTTACTTTTTCTTTTTTATATTATATTTATATTTTTTGAAAATATCTTAAATATTATTATTTTCACATATAAATTTGTTAAAAATAATTTTTACTAAAAAAAATTGAGAAGTATAAAAAGAAATCGTTGCATAATAGCGAAAATAGTGAATTCACAAATGAAAAATGGAAAAAGCCGTAACAACTTTTTTTTCCTCGAATTTATTCTAAGCGGATCTTTCCAAAACTTTGTTAAATTCATTTTTATTAGATTTTTATATTTAAGCGAGATTCGTGGAAGAACGTAATGTGTGCGCAATCACATTCTCAAATGCGAATATCCAAGGGATGTCGTATTGACGATAAAGTTACCCGTTTCGAGAAAATCTACATCACGTTTGTGAGACACGGCACGTAGCAACTATCCTAATTATAAGTGTCTCACTACTGATTTGGTAAGCGCTCGTTACATATATCCCGTGGACCGCGATAATGATATAAATTTAAATTGATACATCTTTTTGATATATGACTCATACAATGACACAAAAATAAGAGCACGTGACAAAATGAGATTCGGTGCAATGTGTCTAACTGAGATCATTGCTTTTATTCAATAAATAGGTAATTACGGAAATTTCCAGGAACAGGAAAGCAAAAACACTCTAGATTGAAATCTAGATCAATTGTATTAATTAAGAGAGGCTTTCTTCAGCATCTATTAGAATTGTCGCAACACGTAATTGTCATCGTGGTGTTGCGTAATTCGACTCGGAGAGCGATTCTCTTCAATTTTACCGCGACGCTATCTATTATCCAATTTAAGCGGGAGGTCGTCGAACCTGTTGCCATCGAAAATCGCGCTGCTCGCCCGCGACTGTACGAGGCCCAATTTTCGTATTTTGGCACGTTTTATATTCGGATATGGATCCGCGGGTGGCCTCGTTTGTGTTCTAGTTGGATACGCGAATCACATGTGCGTAATTCCGCGTGTTCTAGTTACGACCTTCAGTCATTGCTGCCGCGCGTCCGCACCGAGTAGCATAATCGACTGTGTTCTCCTTTGACATGCAAATTGAACCGCGTAGTATTCAAATTGCAACCGTATATTCCGGCATGGTTGCACGCCGACTTTTGTACCGTATAGCAGCCGCGGTGCGTTACGGCGGCGATAACGCGGTTTTATTAGATTGTATTTCGCAATTGCGTGTTGCGGGATCTATGGAAAGAGGAAATAATGATCCATGCGTTTCTCTTACATTTACATGAAACTGAATGGTAGAATGGTGGAATAACCCCCCCTCGTATAAATAAAGCGTGAATTTTCTTCCCGCGATACAATTCGCATTCAGAATTGGAGCACAGAGATACAATAGAGTGTTAATACTTTATTGTTAATGACTCCGCGGCAATTGATACTATCATTACAGGAAATCAGTAATTTTCTCATTTTTAATCCCTCGCGTTGTATGCTATTACTAATTTCATTATTAATAGGCTTAGTTGCGCTTCTGTACCGTATAGCAGTCGGTGCGTTACGCGCCGATAACGCGATTTTATTAGATTGCACTTTGCAATTGCATGTTACGGAGTCTGTTGGAAAAAAAAAGAAAATAATGATCCATATTTTTCTCTTACATTTACGCGATACAATAAATGGTAGAACAATCCGTATAAATAAATTGCCCAGGTTTTTTCCATCATAAGATTTGCATCTAGATCGAATTAGAGTATTAATAGTTTTCTTATTTTTAACATCGCGCGTTGCGTACTGTTATTAATTTCATTATCGGTAGGCATAGTTGCACGTCGACTTTTGTACCGCATAGTAACCGCAGTCCGTTACGGACGGCGAGAATGCGATTTTATTAGATTGCATTTCGCAATTGCGTGCTGCGGGATTTATGAAAAAAAGAAACAATCTATACATTTCTTTTACATTTACATGGAACTGAATGGGTAATCCATATGAATAAAGCGCCAATTTTCTTTTCACGATAGAATTCGCATTCAGATTCAGATTCGAGTTCAGAATAGGTGCAATGGAGAAATGCATTCTTAACATTTTATCATTATTCTTAACGATAATTCTATCGTTATTTTTTTTTCACAATTGTATGATTGATCTGTCATTATAACAAACACACTTTTTTTTCACTTCCCTCATTACATACTACTTCCAATTTTATTATTAATAGATATTGCATGTATTCTGTTGCAATCGTTACATGCAAGATGCACGCATAAAGAATAATAATCCGCGCTAAACTGTTATTTTATACGTAACGCAAGTAGTAATCGGAAGTAATTGCCACCACTTATTGTCAGTGTACTTAAACGGCGTATCGGATGATAATTTAGATATTCCACTGCTAGACTATGCGCAGACTACGATAGACACTACGTATAATTAATATATGATCGCGCACACAGACAGGAGACATTGCATACATATACGCGCGCGATTAAATCGAATGTCATTAGCGCTTAGTCAGTGTTCGGGGTGAACATTCCGTCGGTGTCTACGGCATTGCACGCGCGTGGCTGTTGCATCTGCAGGTGCAAAGTGTCGTCGGCCAATGAGGTCGTCGATCGTTCACTGTCCAATCGAGCGTTTTCACGCGCATCTAACTCCGATGGTGTAACACGTTCCGCAGGGGATCGGGGTTAATGTAACTTGGCAATCGTTTAAAAGAAATATATACAAAGCGCTAAGCATTGCAGTTATTGACATAACTATTGGCATGTCAGGTACATTTCATGCGCGTAGCAGTTTCTCGTTTGAAACTGATTTCTTTTTAGCAGAAAGATGAATATCAATGGTTAATTGTTTACACACAAAGTATGAATTATCGCCTCGGGCGATAAATCTTGCAAAATCTTGTTCCTCAAAAATTCAGGAATTTTAATTTAAAGTTTTGATTGGAAATCTAATTGCCAAAATATTTAATGTCAAAGCTTGAAAATTAAAGTTTTAAAGCTCGGTAAACATGACATTCTATTAAATTATTAATTTTTTCTTGTTTATATTTATGATAAAATATTTTTAAAACCATGTCACTAACTTTAATGATTATGATTTTTTAACGAATGTAACTTGGCAATCGTTTAAAAGAAATATATACAAAATGTTAAGCATTGCAGTTATTGACATACGCACATTAGACACATTTGATACGCGTAGCAGTTTCTCATTTAAAACTGATTTCCTTTTAGCGGAAAGATGAATATGAATAGTTCACACAATTGTCATGCATTATGTTTCAGGTGACAAATAGCAAAATCTTGTTCTTTAAATTCATGAATTCATGAATTTTAATCAAATTTTGATTCTAATTGCCAAAATATTAAATGTCAAAACTTTGAAAATTAAAGCACGATAAACAGTTCATTAAATTTCTTGTCATTTATATTTATGATAAAATATTTTTAGAACTATATCACTAACTTTAACGATTATGATTTTTTAACACAAAGATGATGATTTTTCAAGAAAACCATCGATAGATCACCGAATAAAAGATCTCGCATGCTACATGGCTGTATTCTCATTACCATTCTTTTATACAAATAGTTTGAAACGCGCGCACATCTTCCATAATGCGATAATCGAGTGAGCACCGTGAGACGTGGTTATTCACTTTTATATGCACGGCAAAATCGTTATGGAAATTCATGGAAACAGACCACGCGTACTTCGCATAAACTGCAGTGTCCTAATGTACTTCTGATGTTCTTGCGCAAATGGTTATTTTTAACGGCGTGAATGACAAATCACTACATCAGTCAACACTTAAAGCCGAGAGTGATAATACTACAATGATATTTAAATTACCGAGAAACCGCCAAATATCCATCTGCATTTTTCCCATTTGCTAATTGTAATCATGTGTTTAACTATCCAAAAAACTTTACGCAAGATTGACGTAAGGCATTACGTCGACACATAAAATCACAAGGAGTTAATGATACGGAAAACAAGCGGATATTTTAAGCGTGCCGAGAGAGCAGCGATTGGCGATTTTTCGCGAACTGACGTGAACAATATTAGGTGAAAATAACTTGTTGTTGCGCAACAATGTTGCTTGCGATCGCGAGCTCGTGACAAAATCGCTACGTGACGGCGAGACCGGTTCTGAATTTTCGCGCTCGGAATCGGTTC